GCCCGTAAAGATGATTCGCTGTTGACTGGTTATACTACCAGCCTCCACCTCACCTGACCATCATCTAGCAGGTTGGGAAGAACTATTAACTGTAATTAGTAGTACACCTGGGAATTGTAATTGGTGGACCAAGAATGAATGTAGGACCAGGAGGCCTGGTCGACGACCGGGCCGCGGGGGTCGCTAAGACCTGAAATCACCTCAAAATAAGAACTTCTAGGAATGTGATAACTTAAGAGACAGGTTATGTAGAATAAAGAGTCTCATCTCATTAGCTGCACACAAGATAATGAGTGTATGGGCCAAGTATATTATACTTGCTACAAAATTTATAAAATGCCTGGAGGGGGCGTGACAATAAGGAAAATAGAGATGTTCAAAATGAATACCAATAAAGCCTGAGAATTTGATTTGATTTGAGAATATGAATGAAAGCTGGAGAAAATCAGACGAGCCATACAAATGTATGTTGGAAGGTATTCTTTTAGCATAATAGTAGGAAAATGGAATGAAACAAAAGGAGCAGATTGTAGAAGCGAACAACATACATGATTTCAAAAGTAGACATGATAGAGGAATAAGGCAGAAATCATCGCATTACACAACCAGCAGCTAGAAACAACCCGTTCTCGCAAATTCGTAAAGTCAATATTGACTTATTAACTACGTGCATAGGTGATATACTAAACATAATAGATACCCTTAAAAAGATTCATAGAAAACACCAACCTTACCTAACCTTGTTAGTATCTTAAGATAAGCATCTTATTGCTTCGTAATTACAATTATTACTTAACCTATTCCTATTATAGGTTAGGTAATTATTGTAATTACGAAGCAATAAGATGCTTATCTTAACATACTAAGTAGGTTAGGTAAGGTCGGTGTTTTCTATGAATCTTTTTAAGGGTATCTATTATGTTAAGTATGTCACCTATGCACATATTTAATAAGTCAATATTGACTTATTAAATTTGCGAGAACGGGTTGCTAGAAAGAAGGGGTTCAAGAGCTAAAGCGCAATTCTGCACCCACAAATAGGCAAGTACGAACAGATGAACAAACACACAAACACACACACACACACACACACACACACACACACACACACACAACACACACCACACACACACACACACAGTCATGCAAGCACAGATAAAAGTGGACACTGATGCAAGCCAACAAGGGATATGCAGGTTCTTAGTACATACAGTCAAGACCAGCGAGCACAAGTGCGCACGCGCACACGGGCATGCAACACACCAATATAAACACACACATGCAACGTCACACACACAGAGAAGAGTTAGGGAAGGATTGGAAGTGAGAGGAAGGGAAGGATTGGAAGTGAGAGGAAGGGAAGGGCAGGAAGAGAAGGGAAGGATAGAAAGTGAGGGGAAGCTGATAAGGTAGGGAAGAAAAGGGAGATAGGGTGGTAGGGAGACGGGGGGAGGGAGAGGAATACTGCTAGGAAAACAACTCTTGAGGAAGAGATGTAGGGTGAGAGTCATGATCAAGGGGTTGTGGGGGCGACCAGGGAGGGGTGACCAGGAGACCAAGTGGGAGGCAGCTTGGAGGACGAGCTTACCAAGAAGGTATAGTGTGGTGAAGGGGGAGGAGGGGGGGTGGAAGAGGGGAAGCAATGGGGGAAAGAGGGGAGCAATGGGGGGAAGGGGAGGAGCTTACCGAGGGGGGCGAGGAGCGACGCCGGTCTCTATGGTGACCTAGAGAGTGATGGGTAGCCTGCATCCACATCCCAACGTAGTGCTTCAGCTGTGGTGGCGAGGTGTGGTGATGGGCAAGGGGGTGTGGTGATGGGCGGGGAGGCGTGGTGATGGGCGGGGAGGTGTGGTGATGGGCAAGGGGGTGTGGTGAAGGGCGGGGAGGTGTGGTTATGGGCGGGGGAGACGTGGTGATGGGAGGCAGGTGTGGTGATGGGTGGGGAGGTGTGGTTATGGGCGGGGGAGACGTGGTGATGGGAGGCAGGTGTGGTGATGGGTGGGGAGGTGTGGTGATGGGCGGGGAGGTGTGGTGATGGGTGGGGAGGTGTTTGTTGATGGGATTTCCTACAACTGATCATAAAGATCAGTTGTTCTTTAGAAAGGGATGCGTGTAAATGGTGCCGGTTGTTAGTTAACTGTATAAACTAATGTATGAAGAAAGCCTAGTACATGAACCATGGAGACTACACACATTTACCGTCAATAACCACTAACACATACTTGCTAACTATTAGAACATTTCACAAGCTTAAATCGAGTGTGAACGGACGCAACATTTCTCAAGTACGAACTCGGGGGCCAGATTCACGAAGCAGATACGCAAATACTTACGAACGTGTACATCTTTCCTCAATCTTTGACGGCTTTGGTTACATTTATTAAACAGTTTACAAGCATGAAAACTTGCCAATCAACTGTTGTTATTGTTATAAACAGCCTCCTGGTGCTTCGGAGCTCATTAACTGCTTAATAATTGTAAACAAAGCCGCCGAAGATTGAGAAAAGATGTACAGGTTCGTAAGTGTTTGCGTAACTTCTTCGTGAATCTGGCCCTAGGTGTTCTGGTACTCGCACTTCATGGTCTTAAGACCAGCAACGGCTCAATCTTCACTGAATGTCGATTTTAGGATATTTACGCTTTTTTCCTTAATGTCCTCCATATGGAAGAAATAGCTTGAGTATAAGCATCCAGGCCGGGGACTCAGGAACGAGACCGGTACATATTTATTTATTTATTTATTTATTTATTTATATATATACAAGAAGGTACATTGGGTTTGAGAGAATACATTGGATAGTACAGTATTTACATTCTTGTAAAGCCACTAGTACGCGCAGCGTTTCGGGCAGGTCCTTAATCTAGCAGATAATTTTAAGTAGGTAATTTCAATCAGAATTGATAAATGAAAGATATATTACAAGAGAAAAATTCCTCTATTATAGCGGCTTCGTTTGCATTTAATGAACAGTCTATAAACGCCACTTTAAGACAAACTATTTTTTATAGACGCCAAAGTCCTTAAACAATTGAATAGTTAACGATTAGAGGGAGAGGGAGGGGCGGGGGGGGGGGGGAGGACCTGCCTCTCTCTTAAATGGTATTAGCAATATTTTTCCTTTTCCATTGAATGTCCTGTGTCTCACTGTCCACAGCTGTTTCCTTAGATGTGGAGGAAAGTGAGATGTCGACGGTCTTAGGTCCGTCGTTAGTGTCTCACTAACGCACCTGAAGCAATCATCGTGTCTTCCACACACACATTTGTGATGCAAATCAATATATAATGACTTCTATTACGGGCTCACCATAGCCCGTGCTACATGGACACTTCGTTCTGAGTAGCTAAATCTAAAACAACAACAATGACTTCTTTTTGGGGGTGAGAGGGGGGGGGGGGGTGTTCATTCATACTAGAAGGTGAAGGGACGACGACGTTTCGGTCGTCGTCTCTTCACCTTCTAGTGCGTGGTCTGGTTAAACTACTTCAGCCACGTTATTGTGACTTATCGCCTTCATTCATACCTTACCCCTTAAATACAGCTTCTACGGAAAAGTCTAAGAATGACCTTCAAGCCCTCGAGGGGTGAGGTTAGCGTGGAGAAGACCTCGAGTCCGCACACCAAGGAGGACAACCCTCTGCTCTGGACACTGGGGGTCTTCTTTCCTGTCACTCCTCCCTTTCCCAGGAAAAAATATAACTCACGTTTTTCCCCCATTCTGAACAATGTTTTGTGTTATGTTTCAAAGGGAGTGATGATAACGAGGGTGATGATGTTAATACTAGGACGGCGATGATTGATGATGATGGTAGATGATAAGGAATGCTAATAATGAGGATGGTGTCAAGCCAAAGCCAAGCTAGACAGCTTTGCATTGCTTTAAAATCACCGAGAAAATCACTTATTAAGAGACAACACACATATACATACTAACTAAACTACTTCAGTAAAATAGACAGTTCCTCAAAACCTCTTGTAATCGACACAAATAAAGCGCACCAGGGATACATTACAGTGAAATGTTACACTCTTCCAATACATAACGGAACACAACAAATACAGAACTACTATAAATATTTCAGACACATACTAATGTTACCAGAGACGAAGAATAAGTCAGGAAAAAGAATGATTATTTAAGAAAAAGTTTAAACAAAGCAGGAAAAGTGGGACAACTGTGACACTTCGATGAATCATACTGAAATTTAACGTTTACATTAACTAATACTTGATCATGGATAATTCTCAGCCTCGTTTTTAAAAAGAATAGATTTAAGATAATATGAGTTAAAACGAAGGATAATATCCCACTATAGTTTCCTGGATTGGTACCTGCACCTGTACCCATCATGCTGATAGTACCTTAGACAAGTACCATATTACCGCTGCCACCACCACAATAACCACCTGTGTGGAGGTGGTGGTGCTAGTTACCACCTGGGGGGGGGGGGAGAGATGGTTCTACCAGCTGAGTAAAAAAAGGAGAAAACACTTGAGTAGCTGAGTAAAAAAAGGAGAAAACACTTGAGCAGCTGAGTAAAAAAAGGAGAAAACACTTGAGTAGCTGAGTAAAAAAAGGAGAAAACACTTGAGTAGCTGAGTAAAAAAAGGAGAAAACACTTGAGCAGCTGAGTAAAAAAAGGAGAAAACACTTGAGTAGCTGAGTAAAAAAAGGAGAAAACACTTGAGTAGCTGAGTAAAAAAAGGAGAAAACACTTGAGTAGCTGAGTAAAAAAAGGAGAAAACACTTGAGTAGCTGAGTAAAAAAAGGAGAAAACACTTGAGTAGCTGAGTAAAAAAAGGAGAAAACACTTGAGTAGCTGAGTAAAAAAAGGAGAAAACACTTGAGTAGCTGAGTAAAAAAAGGAGAAAACACTTGAGTTGGCTTAAACATGGAGCAACGATACTTATGAAGCAAAGTTGTAAAAAACTGAGATATATATATATGACTGGGCAAGAGAAGCAAGAGCCACAACACGCACACATGGTTATAGAACTCACGTTTCCAAATGGTATTTCTGGCGTCCAGTCTGTAGCGTTCTCCTCTTCTAGTTGAGTCGGGGAGCCTTGTCTGCTGCCCTGACCTCCCTCTGCTTTCTTGGTTGCTTCATCTCCCGTGTCGGTCTCCGTGGAGGAGGACCTGTTGGAGAGTAAGACTGTCCTTGCTGTGGTGGAGGGTGTGGTGGTGGTGGTGGTGGTGGTGTGGCCGTTGGCGCGCTCTGTGATGGCGTCTGCCGTGTTGTGGTGGGTGGTGGAGGCTGTGGTGGAGTTGTGTTGAAGACCACAGGGCGTAGTGGTGATGGCCGGGGTGTTTCTCCTGTGGTTGACTGGAGAGCTGGTGTCGCACGATGATACCTTCTGCGGAGGACACGTAATGACAGATATTAATAATTCCCAATGTCCGGGACAGCAAGTCTGTACTTGGGTTGACCAAGGTACCCATAGGCCAACTGTTGACCTTGCCAAGGATGCAACCTACAGCAATTGACAAATTCTTGGGTACCTATTTGCTGCTAAGTAAATAGAGGCATCAGGTGTAAGGTAATAATGTCTGACCTGCTTTAGGATGTAATTCACAGCAATTGCCTAACCCCCCCCACGTACCTATTTAACTGCTTGGTCAACAGAGACATTAGGCAAAAGGAAACGTGTTCAACCGTTTCCATTCTGCGCTGGGATTAAACCCCTGTCTCTCGATTGTGAGCCGAGGACGTAGACCCCTGTGCTAACAAAGAACTGATCAAAGTCATCTTCAAATATCAGGAGAGCTTCAAGTCACTGTAAACAACATTTACCTAATATCAATTATATACGAGAGTTCTATATAATAACTCGAGAAACTAAACCTTATGGAGCATTTTGTTTTTCCATACACACGCGCCTTAATAACGAGGTTAAAAGGTAGATAATTCAACCAACAAACGTGAACAGATCTGAAAGCAAAGTTTAGGGCCCGTGATGGAGCCTTATCAACAAGGTCCAGGACGGACTGAGACGTCCTCACTTAATAATCATAAACACAAATCAAGGAAAAAGTGTAACCAAACTGTGTTCACCAGTGTTCACTAGTGTTCACCAGTGTTCACTAGTGTTCACTAGTGTTCACCAGTGTTCACTGGTGTTCACTGGTATTCAGCGATCATTGTATCTAGACGGGATGAGCATAGAGCTGTTGAGATTGTGTGGAGTGGGGACACACACACCGTATAGAGTGGGACACACACACCGTGTAGGGTGGGAGACACACACACCGTATAGAGTGGGAGACACACACCGTATAGAGTGGGAGACACACACACCGTGTAGGGTGGGAGACACACACACCGTATAGAGTGGGACACACACTCCGTGTAGGGTGGGAGACACACACACCGTGTAGGGTGGGAGACACACACCCCGTGTAGGGTGGGACACACACACCCCGTGTAGGGTGGGAGACACACACACCGTATAGAGTGGGACACACACGCACCGTGTTGAGTGGGACACACACACCCCGTGTTGAGTGGGACACACACGCACCGTGTTGAGTGGGACACACACACCCCGTGTTGAGTGGGAGACACACACACCGTGTTGGGTGGGAGACACACACACCGTGTAGGGTGGGAGACACACACCCCGTGTAGGGTGGGACACACACACACCGTGTAGGGTGGGACACACACACCCCGTGTTGAGTGGGAGACACACACCCCATGTAGGGTGGGAGACGTACCTGGGAGACACAACAGTTGTTCCTCTCATCCTCAGACCAGAGCCTGGAGCGTGAGTAGCGTGGCCCTCGACGCCTGGGTCGGAGTGGTTCCTCACGCTTGATGAGGAAGGTCTCCACGCCGTGGTCCTGTACAAAGCCACTCCTGTTACTCCTCTTATCTCTCCTGTGTAAGCATACTCCTACACACACACACATATATATATATATGTACCCACCTTGAGGAAGACCAAGCTGGTAGTATACTCACCTTGAGGTACTGGTCCCGCTGCTTGCCGTGGCCCGGTTCCACGTCGTAGACACCGTTGAGGCACTCTACCGTGGCTCTGGACACGTGCACCCTCCTGCAACACCCGGGGACATGTTAACCTTTGTTGTACCCGTGTGTTGTCAC